GCATCACCATCAGGGCGCCTAAATCAGGTGCTGCAGATGCAGGAGCTACTGACGAACCGGCCTCCGTTGCCGGCGGCTGGCCCTCCGACGTCTGCGGCGTTGCACCACCAAATCTTCTCTGGTCCGTCTCATGCTGGCGTTGACTGCGGGTACGAACACCCTCCGTTTCCTCCTTAGGTAAAATCGGTATGATTTTATCCCACTTCTGACACCAATTGTTACGAGCTTGAGGTTCGTGACAATAAAAATTGCCGATAAAATTACCTAAATTAACACTTTAATTTACTTTACACAAATTAAAACTAAAAACACTAATAATTTAAACACACTAATTCACTTAATTTCCGCTCCGAAGCTTCGCTTGTGTCGCCGAGTTCAACTCTACCTCGATCGCACCTTGCAGCGCCTACTTATATAAATTAGCAAAATATCCAGAATGTTCAAGTAAACACGCGCAAGGTACCGAGAGTTCGAGTTTTAAACTTCAAGAAGTTTAGTTCTTCGGTTCGAGACTAGATGGCGCTAGTGCGCCGATTTGAGGCATTGGAGCGCGTAACATTATTTTCATCATCATCATCATCATCATTACAGCCCTTCACAAGTCCACTGCTGAACATAGGCCTCCCCCAAGTGCCACAAAGCACGGTCCTGAGCCATCTGCATCCATCGACTTCCTGCGTGTCTTACCAGGTCGTCACTCCATCTAGTGGAGGGTCACCCTACACTACGCCTACTGGTACGAGGTTTCCACTCGAGAACCTTTCTTCCCCATCGGTTATCGGTTCTTCGAGCTATATAGCCGGCCCATTGCCTATTCAGCTTACTAATCCGTTGGGCTATGTCGGTCCCTCTGGTTTTACTGCGGATATCCTCATTTCTGAGTCTATCACGCAGAGAAACTCCGAGCATAGCCCTCTCCATAGCTCGCTGAGCGACCTTGAGCGTCCTCATACGGCCAGCAGTGAAGGACCACGTCTCCGTAAGTCATCACTGGCAACACGCACTGGTTGTACACTTCAGTTTTCAAAGATTGAGGTATACCAAACGAGAAGATGTGTCGTAATTTCCCGAACGCTGCCCAGCCGAGTTGAATCCGTCGATTGACCTCTCGGTCGAAGTTGGACTTACCTAGTCGGACTATTTGTCCCAGGTAAATGACCCAGGTGAATGAAACTCGTCAACAACTTCGAGCATAGTGCTCCCAACAACTACCGGCATAGGTGTGACATGGACATTGAACATGATCTTTGTTTTGTCCATGTTCATCTTAAGACCTATCCGTTGGGAGACACTATTGAGGCCATTGAGCATAGTGCTTAAGTCCTCCAGCGATTCTGCCATAAGGACTATATCGTCGGCAAATCGAAGGTGGGTGATGTACTCGCCATTGATGTTAATACCGTATCCTTTCCAGTCCAGTAGCTTGAAAACGTCTTCCAATGCAACGGTGAAGAGTTTCGGGGATATAACGTCACCCTGTCTTACACCTCTCTGCAGTTGGATAGGTTTCGGGCTCTGGTTCTGTACTCGGATAGCCATCGTAGCCCTACTGTACAAACACTTCAGCACTTCGATATACCGACAGTCAACTTGGCACCGCTGAAGGGTCTGTAGCACCGCCCAAATTTCGACGGAATCAAATGCTTTCTCATAGTCCACATACGCCAGGCAAAGTGGCAGATTGTACTCTTCAGTCTTCTGTACAATCGGCCGCAGGGTATGTATGTGGTCTATGGTACTGAAGCCTTTTCGGAAACCGGCTTGTTCGGGAGGCTGGAAGTCATCGAGTCTGCGTGCGAGACGATTCGTAATGACTCTCGAAAACAGCACGTAGATGCGGCTCAGAAGGGAAATCGGTCTGTAGTTTTTCAAGAGAGCGTTGTCGCCTTTCTTAAAGAACAAGACCACCGCTCTTCTGCCTCACGCCTCTGGAGTAGTGCCACCATGGAGGACGGAATTGAAGAGCTTCTGAAGGACTTCAAGTATCGGTGTTCCACCCGCTTTCAGAAGCTCCGCTGTAATTCCATCCTCGCCTGGGGCCCTGCCGTTTTTAAGGTGCTGGAGAGCCATTCTAATCTCGCTTAGACTGACGTCCGGGATATCATCGGAATAGTGTCAGATAAGACTTGCTCTTGGGTCGTTACTCACACTTGCGTGTGGCTCCAACGATGATGTGTACAGCTGCCCATAGAACCTCTCAATCTCACTCAAAATCTCAGGTGTCCCGGAAACGATGCTGCCACACTCAGTCTTCAGCTTTGACAGTTGGCTCTTACTGGCAGACAGATCTCTGGAAAAGACTTTAGCGCCCTGGTTCCGCTCGATCGCTTCTTTAATACGAGCAGTATTAAAGTTGCGTAAGTCTCGCCGCATGCATTTGGAGATCTGTATGTTCAGTTGCCTGTATGCTGTCAAATCTGTTGACGATTGCAGCCTCATCTCCCGTCTAACAGCCATGAGATTAAGAGTGTGATCGGAGAGTTTTTGTGTTCTTCTGCGGCGGGTCTTGCAGAACTTAGCTCCGACCGCATGGACAGTTTCCACGAGCTTGTCATTCATATCGTCCACTGCATAGCAATCTTGTAGGCACTTAAAGCGGTTACGTAACTCGAGCTGAAAGTTTTCGGGATTCTGGATTAGAGCACGAGGGGGGACGGAGCGTTGACTTCATTAGACGAGACCTCTCCAACTTAACGTTTAGGTTCAGTGTGCCTCTAACCATTCGGTGATCGCTGCCAGTTTTCACCCTTGCGATCACTGAGACATCACTGAACAGTTGGCGTCTGGTCGTCATAATGAAGTCAATCTCATTTTTTGTCGAACCGTCGGGGCTCGACCAGGTCCACTTCCTGTGGGGCCGCTTCTGGAAGAAAGAGTTCATCATAAAGAGTCCCTCTTTCTCCATAAAGTCCGTCAGCTGCTGGCCCCTTCGGTTCCGTTGCCCTACTCCAAATTTCCCTAACTTCAGCTCGTCGTTTTCTTTTGTGCCTAGTTTTGCCTTGAAGTCTCCCATCAACACCGTGTAGTGGGTTTTGGAGGAATGTATGGCTTTGGAAATATCCTCATATATTTCCTCCACCTCCTCATCTGGATGTGCCGAAGTTGGTGTGTAAACCTGTATGTCCTTCAGCGAATACGTTTGGTGATTCTGAGTATCAGGTACGCGACCCTCGTCGACACACTCCCAATCTTTACAATGTGTTGACGAGAGACTTGTGGACGGTGATAGAACGAGTTGCCGGATTCGAGAATCACCGTGTCCTCCCCCTCTCTTCGGACCTCGGATAATCCTATAATATTCCAGCACAACTTGTCTATCTCTTCTTCCAGCTCCAGGATCTTCTCGTCAGTCCTCAGGGTGCGTGCGTTAAATGTTGTCAGGTCGAGTCGTCGTAGGTGGCAACCGAACCTCCACCGGAGATTCTTAGCAACCCCTGCCCCGCCGTTACCATGGTCGCCACCGTAGCCAGGAATAGCGGGGCCGCCGGGGACTGGGGGCCGTCTATTTGTGTAATTGTTTATGGGGGGTATATTGCCATAGTTGCCACGCTTGGCGAGCGGGTTGGCAACTACAGTTTTTTTTTGTTGTACAGTTGCTGTTATCAGGAAGATGCTGCTGCCCATTTCCTGCCTGTCTCCCTGTCGCCTCTTACGACACCCACGGGAAGATATGGGGTAGTGGATATTCTTAATCGCCGCTACACGGCTTATTTTATATATGTTATTTTCATCTTAGTGTAATAGTTTTCGTATAGGTGAGAAAATAAATTAAAAAAAATAAGTTCCCCGTAAATGAACTCCCACATACAGCTTTTCAAGACCCTTTGATACATACTAGATATTTTTCGGTTATAGGTTCCTTTTATTACGTAGGCACCTAATAAAGGAAAATTCAATACCTAAGTGTGTTGAGTAAAGTACAATAAATACAAGAAGGGACGGGAAATATGTTGGGAAATATTGAATATCAAGTAATAAGCCTTGAGTAGAGTTTTGAAGGAAAAAACGAAGAGGCAAGGATTTACACAAGCGTACAGCTGTGACTGAAAATGAGTTATTGAGGATGGTGAAATAATGTACTGGAGTACGAAGGGAAAGATTGTTAAAGCGATTTTCACCATTAGACAGGCCTAAGCCAAACATCTCATTTCGAATGTTTTTTATAGGAGAGTGACAAACGAGCACATAGTCCACGTGATGGTGAATGGTTTCATTACATGTATCCTCGATTACAAATCAAAATGCAGATGCGTTGTCACCCGTGAGGACTAAGATGGAATGCCTCGTTTCCGGTAAAAAGGGTCTCCGGTTCTCTACACTCACCATACGAAGCACAGCAGCATTACGCTACTATTTTACGCTGGTATTCTATGAGAGTGTGGTCCTTCCCCGGTCGAACCGACCCATTCGTGCTAAAACCATACTACTAATATAACTGCAGCATGGCTCTACCACGTGTAAAAAATTATGAAAAAGGTTCATGTGATGGCTTGAGCTTTCAGTATTATACGATCTCATAATAAGTGTGGGCCATGACTATCTGGACGTCACAACTTGAACGCGGGCAATAAGCGGCCGAAAAGCTAGTTATTTTCGAGATTTATATCTTAAATTACACATATTTAGACCGTCCACATATTTGCTTTATTATTGAAAAAAAATAAAATTATTAATTTTTATTTTTCAAACTCGTAATGTGGTACTTTAACTACATTTCGAAGAACAACGTTTTACGCAAAAACAAACCACTTTATAGACACAATATTTATTATAGCAAAGAATAAATTACAATTGCATTAAATTACTAGTAAAATACGTTTATAATTGTATAACAACATATAAAGTAACTGTCGTATGTTTAAGAACTTACAAAAATATATTAACTAACATTCTTCAAAATATAACTAACATTAAATCTAATTTAACAATTACAATAAATATATTTTATATATTAGTTTAATTCTGTATATTGTCATCACATTGTCTCATAAATACTTTCATTATTTACGACGCAGCCAAAACTCTTTCGTGGGCTCGCAGTGGGCTCTCAACTGCTTCCTGTCCCATTTTGCGGACTCCCAGCGCCATTGCGGAGAGACAAACGGAGGTGCCCGTTTAGCAAGTGCTAACTGAAAAATTTAAGAATAATGCATTTATAATAAAAGAGTAAGTTATACGCCTAAGAATAACGTCTATGATGATATCCTTAAGGTGTTGAATTAAAACGTAAGAACTGCGAAGCAGTGGTCAGGTTTATGTAATGCAGCCTAAGATTACGAAGCAAAACATCATGCAACTTTTAATGTGTTCATCTTTTAAAAAGAAGTTGAGTTTTTTAATGTGATAAGGACGCAATTTTTCGTCTATAGAAATGTTTGCCGTAAATTTCATAGCAGGTACGGGAACAACAACCGTGAGTAACTCAGATGGTTAGCGCTCGTTGTAATATTCACAGTACGCGAGCAATCCGGGTTCGACCCCGCCGACACCAATGAAATTGTTAATTGCAATTTTTAATGCTGAATTACCATGTGCTCGGCGATGAAGAAAAACATCCTGAGAAAACTTGCATGTCTGAGATATAAGAAAAAAATAATATTTCGAAGACGTGAAGTTCGACAACACGCAATAGTGTAGCGCGACTGACACTTCCTTGCCCTAAAACCCTCTCAGAAATGGGAGGAGGCCTGTCCCCAGCAGTGGGATGTATATAAGCTGTACCTTTTAACGCCAACAGTCGAGGTCGATACCCGCAGGCACCAATAAAATTGTTAATTGTAATTTAAAATGCTGATTTTCCGCGTGCTAAGCGGTGAGGGAAAAGAAAAATCCTTGTGTGTGAGGTATAAAATGCTTTGAGGTCATTTTAAGTCCGTCAAAATACACTATAGCAGAGCAACAGACTCATTGCTCCATAACTTTTACGAAATGAGAGGAGACCTGTGCACAGCGGTGGGACCTGTACCTTTTTTTATAGAATAAAGGAGACAAACAGTCCACCTGATGTAGTGGATGCGTTGTCACCCTTGTGGACTAAGATGGAATGCTTCGTTTCCAGTAAAAAAGGGTCTCCGGTTCTCTACACTCACCATTCGAACACAGCAGTTTTAAGCTGCTATTTTACGTTGGTATTCTGTGAGGGCGTGGTCCTTCCCCTGTTGAGTCGACTCATTTGTGCTACAACCATAATATAGCTGCAGCGTGGCTCTACCACGTATAAAATATAAATGCCTTACTCTTAAATTGTACTTGCATGGCTCATTTCACAGCTCTGAATTTGCTTTTTACATGTAAGTATATCCTCTAGAGTAAATTGCAAAAATTCTTTCGTTTCTTTGTTTGAAAGTCAAAGTTTATATTTAATTGTTCTTCTACTGAGTGCTACACTTACGGGGTTACTAGGCGCGTATCGTGAAGGTAATGACGCTTTTACATTCTGGCAGCTTGTCTTTGATTCTTTGTACGCTCGACGAGTAGTGCTGATATATACGTCATCCAACAAAGTCTGCCGCACATGCTGGTCTGCGATGTCGTCGATACTGACGGCTGGAGTTATTACTACGCGAGGACGTGTCCGTCGAACCTGTTCCTCCTCCTTATTAAACCTATTATCCTGGACCATAAGTTCAACAATTAACAGCATTGAAATAGTTAGGTTCTAATAATGAAACGCCATGTGCCATCCTTTCCTGCCTCAAAGTTTGTCTGGGTATCGCTCTGCCGCATTTTTACCTATTTATACCGTCAAGCAGCATTGCACAGCCTACACGTCCTGTGTTTCAGTTTGAAGATGTGCAGATACAGGCAGTGAGTTATTCTATTTTAGTCTCCATGTCGTGACAACGCGTCTGTGACCTTCTTTTTTTGAGGTTGGGAGTTCAAGGGATGCGATCGCTACTTACCATTAGGTAGACTGTTGGTTACTACTAATCCATTACAGTTTCCAAATCCATTGTTAGTGTGATTTTGCCATAGTTGCCACGCTTGGCAAGCGGGTTGGCAACGTTTTTTATTATTTCAGTTGTTATCAGAAACACGCTGCTGCCATCTGTCCTAGTTACTCTGTGTGGACTCTTACGACACCCACGGAATGATATGAGGTAGTGGATATACTTACACTGCCGCTATATGGTCTAATAAGATTATTTATGATTAGGAAATGCAAAGAAAATTAAAGATGTAAATACTGCTTTGAAAAAGATTAAAGAGGGATCATTGAACTTGAATAGAATGTGCGTTTGATTGATCCTTCTTGGTGATGATTTATATATTTATAAAAATATTTATAGTTATAAACGAAGCTAAGGCACTCGGGCACTTTCTTTACTTTAGGGTTGTCATTTCTTCGAGTTATATGGCCAACCCCAACTTCAGTTAACTAATCCATTGTGCGAATCTACTACGGAAATACTTACGTCGGTAATCAATAGCGGCCCTAGCAAAATTTTTAGGTGGTGGAAGATCTCATAGTGGCGCCCCTCTAAATACAAAACCTTAGTATTAGTGTACTTATAATATGCAAGTGCTTTTCGTGATTTTCAATAGTATAAGACCTATCAAATATCTACAGGTGTATATGCGGAACAAGCACAGTCGTGCATGTCACTCTTGCCAAAGCAAGTTGATCCGCTTATTCGCGTTAAAGAAATGTCCACTCTGTTCGCACTACTGTGTTGCGCTCGACAATACCACTATGCTTGCCTTGCTGCGGTGACTAGTTGTACAGATTACTTCTCATAATAAGAGTAAATAATCTTGTTTCACAGTTTTTATTTAAACTGTTGTTCTGCAGCCAATGTTAAAAAGATAAAAGAACTACCAACAACAAACTTTATGAAAAGTCTATATGGCCAGCTTTCTGGCTTATGCGCTTGCAATTTTTTTTATTAATTCGGAATAATTTAACTTCTGGACAGTAGAATTTTTTATGTAAAAGATTCCAAGATATGACAGTCTTTCGTCAGGAAATAGTACATAGTAGAAACGCAGGTAAATTTTTAAATGTTTTTATGTACTAAAACTTCGTTTCCGTTTAGCGACAGTTATAGTACACCCGTCGCAGAGGCGAAACACGTATCGTATCGAGAGTGGGGTGTCGTCGCCTATCGTGGTGATGTTGGGTGTGGTGAGCTTTTCAGACTGGGTAGGACACATCATTTTTATATTATTACGCGAAGATGGTAATTAAGTTCATATAATTTTAACTACGTGGGTTAAAAATGCCCGAGGATATTGAGTAAAATTCTTATTTGAACACCTTAATTTTCCTGCCACGTTCGCACCATTATTTTACTCTTGATCTCGACAATCATTCGTGTCTAAGTCAAACACTTGTACAATTGCCTGATTGTAAAAAAAGTGGTAGAGCATGCTCAGTTAATAGATTATAGTTGGGATGATGTGTAGTAGAAAAGTGCAAACTTGCATTTGTAAGAGGATAGTTAGATTTTGGGATTAGGTGATTTTTTCACCCTATCCATAAAAAAAAATTGATTAATAAAGAGGCCAGTAAGACCTTTTCCCGAAGGGTCACTTAGGCTTGTAAGAAACAAAATACTCTTGCTTTGACTTGCTACTTAGCGTCAACAAAACGGAATGTTAGTGACAAGAGTTAGTGAATAGGTGACCGGTACCCGGTGGTAGTGTTTCGGTAGATTTCGGCGCCCCCCGATGACGGTGCCCGGTGCGTTGGCACCACTCGCACCGCCCTAGGGTCGCCACTGTCGGTGATCATTGGGTACAATGCGCTCAGATTCATTGACGAGTATGTCTACCTAGGGTAAATTGACCGACAATGTAAGTCCAACTGCGTTCAAGAGTTCATTCGACGGACCCAATTCTGCACGAGAACGTTCGCGAGCTTACGACACATTTCTATTCATGTAATCTTCAAAATTTTAAAATAAGAGTGTGCAACAAGTAGGTACCGTTGGCAGTGATTACATATGGATCTAAGACGTAGTTCTTCACCATGGGGTCCGTATGGGGAAGCTCGAGGTCGCTAACCGTGCTTACATTAAATAAATACATTTTTTTAAATTAATCACCACGGATAATTTGTAGAGATTATCCATGTTGAATCGGAAACAGCCGCTTTTGTGAATTGAAAAACTTAATCATATGTAAAAATCTCGGCATGAAATTAAGTATAAATAATTTTACGAGTAATAGTTATTCTATTGAACCATAACTTACAGGTTCCTCTAATGTTATACTTGGACATGTTCGTATAATGTCCTTTCGGAAGTGTGTAAGACTAAAAGGCACTGCACTTCCCTTCCAATCCGTCAACGTGTGCACATTTTTCAGTGGTGAAGTCCTATCTTTAAGCTTTACGTGGTTTGGCTTTTCTTTATAAACAATAGCTGTTTTTCTTCTCTCAATATTACGAAAATCAGTTCGGTTAGTTGTTTCTCTATCAAATAACATGGCTTCAATATCTTCTATTCTTTTATGCATTATTATATACGCCAAAACAATGGTTCTATTTCAATGATTATTTTAAAGGCCTTTCAGTAAATATTAAATTACATAAGTATGAAATATATTTAAAATCTTTTGAAAACAAAGATATTAGTATAATGACTATATTTCAATACATTATATGTATTACGTTAAATGTTATTCTTTGGGAAGAAAAAAGTACGTCAATAGTACCACAGATAACTATATACTAGACAGAGAAATAGTACATAGATTAATAATACATAGTAGGTAGTATTTTCCTTGGGTCAGAAAACAAAGAGTATAATATAATCACTACGTTTCGATTACATTCTCTTTAAAGCTATAGTGTAATGTAAAACTTTTTGGCGGTTAGAATAGATTTTAATTAAAAAAATATTTTAGCTTGTCGATGTAAAGTTATCGCTGACCGTGAAGTGGCGGTGTAGGAATAACAACTAACCCATATTGACCCACTGACGTCGCAAGAGGCGGCAGACGGAAATAAATCAGGAGATGTGCAGCAGCGTCTTCCATATAAAAACTAAAAACGATTGCGGTTGCCAACCCACCCGCCAAACATGGCAACTATAACGTGATGAAGAGACGATCTATGGGGGAGAGATAGAATCTTAGCTCAACAGTGGACTTTGGACAGACTGTAACGCTAACGGTATGAAAACTTACCAGATGTGGTTTTCATACTGCGCATTATTGTGTCATCTAACACACCTATCAGTGGTCTAGTAGACTTTCTGGCCTACCAGATTATCACGGTGACTCTTCTAAGATCTCTTGCAAATAAAAATGTTGGGCGATTTGTGACGGGCAAATAAAAAACAACTGTTAGATTTCAATAATTTATTAAGATTTTAATAATTAATACGAAACACAACGTTGGATAGTATATGTACAATAAAGGAAAAAGTTTATATAAAAATAAATATTTCATTCTATCACGTTTTGGTAAAACTTGTATGCTTTACTTATCAATGAATATATCTTTAAATAATAATAATAATACGGAAACAAATATTAATTATTTTTAAATTTAAGTGTACAGATGTAAAAAAACAGTATTATATTATTTATACATGCATAGTTATTGGTCAAACCATTGACCATTTATTAAATACATACCATGTTACGTTGACAATGTACACAGTAAAACCTTTCAGTTTAACAAGGCTAAAAACCAAAACCAAAAACCGTATTTGAAAAAAGAGGTCAATATTCCGCGTAGTTTTTCTTCGGAAGCAATGAGTGGAACACAAATTAGTAAAATTTAAAAAGTATACAACTATTTAATTGATTATAAATTTTCCTCGTTAATAAAGAGATCATATTTAGTTTTTATACTAATAGAAAATATTAAGTTATTTTAAAATATTTCGACACCTACTCATTTTAATTTACACGTTGTTTAGTGAAATTTCACTAACTCACTTCGTTCTTCAGAGGATATCCGGGCGATGATTACAAACGAATTCCTCCGTTTCTCCCCCCCCCCCCCCCCCCGAATAATTGCATTAGAACAATTATTTTTTTACGATAAAATCTATAACTATCGCTACCATGTTTTATTTTTTCTATGAATTAATTATTTTAAAAATTTGGAAACCTTTTCAAAATTACTAAAATTGCGCAGTCATACCGGCGTTACTAGGCATGCAGAAAACAAATTTAACGAACATAAAAACATAATAAAAAGGCATATAGACGCAGCCTTTATATTTAAGTGTATTTAAAAAAAACTTAAAATCGGTACGGTTTTGGAGGAGGAAACGGTAACGAGTAGATCATTTATAGCTATTCTTTAGTTCTTGCAGCCCAGATATCTTCCCAAGTGGTTATTCTAATAAGGAAATCCGAATCAGGTACACTGTTCACACTTTAATTATACATTTTCACATCTCCTTTTTGGTAACGTACTCATAAAGCCTCGGTGAAGAGCGTGCAGTAGCGCAGGGAGTTCGCCGTGCATGACAAAGACACGCCTATTATGTATTCTATGCTCTCGAGTTACAGTATCCTGAAATACATATATGCTAAAACGCGCCGCTTTGCCACTCGTCCCGAACCGTCGCACGTTCTTCACTAAGGAAATAGATTAAGAAGTAATAGTGTTTTAATTTACAAATTTTTGCTTAACATCGAAAAATCTACAATTAGCTATTAATCACATGGCGTGTTATTACAAAGAGTGCTAGTTTATTATTACTTACGCTTAAACTAGTCTGTTCAAATGAAGAATTCCCGCGGAAAATATGCGATAATTGAATTTGGCAGCAAATGTCTGATTACGTTAAAACTGCGCCGCAGTTAAAGACTTCTTAAACTATAGTTTAAGAAGTAACTGTAATAAGGCCGTGTGCCCCTTAACTAAAGATGTAGAGATCAAAACATGACATTGTCAATTCTTAAAATGATTAAAGCTCTGTACATTTTCTATAACGTTAGACGCGGTGCATACATACAATTTAAAAATCGAACAACTGTTTAGTTGAATGTGAAAAGTCCATGGGAATGTATGGAGGTCCGCATATAATATAATTGAGTGTTTACTCGACAAAAATACATCAAAAAACCACATCGAATACTTTTTGATTAATTAGTCGAACAATTATCGACCGATAGCTCTATGTATATTACTATTTATAAGGAGGCGCATATACTCGACTTAATAGTCGATCCGCGACTATTTAGCTGTGCGACGTTAAAACGACGTACTCGTGCCTCCCTTTTCTATGTTATTTATTATGCAATAAATATAGCAAAGAACAAGTAACTAGGTACTTTTTTATTAATCGTGGAAGTTGTAATTATTAAGTATAGTAGAATGCTGCAAAACGACCGCCCTTAAAACGACAGTAGCCTAACGGCATGATGCGGACCGCAAACTCAAAGTGAGTTCGAACCCGCTATTCGACTATTGTCGTCAACCACTCCTAATACAAGCATTTGAAGCTTACCAGGTGTGGTTAAAGGGAAAATGTGTAATGTTAATAGTATTGCTAGTATTTAAAAAAATAGAAAGATCTAGTAAATTGATAACTCTTTACCCGGGATCTGAGCTGGAGAGACTGTAGGAGAGCCTGGTTAAAGGTATATGATTCAATTTCTTGTAGTGGTTGACGCTTAGGAAAAACCTTGGTGGGTGCTCCTGTACATAGAGGCACGTGGCCTATTTAGGTTCTGCAATCTGTGCTTTTGTCGCCGCGTAGTTAATGCTATGGACTTGGTGTAGACTTCCACAGGCACCTTGTCCCATGGACACAGGTATGTCTGCTCCCGCTGTGCAGCCATGGTTACACCCTCCAATTGAATCCCCTTTCTCGCAATTTTTGTGCTAAAATAAATCTTGTCATGTGAGGGTGGCAACTGTGCCATATCTCCATGAAGCCATTAGTATGAGCATAATGGTCAACAGTGTCCAAACTTTCTGCCTCAATCCCACCACCCATTCTTCCGGACCCACAACCCATCTGGGACCATTGATGGGCCGTTCGTCTGCTCTCTGGCGCGGGAGGTTGAACCTATCTTAAAACAAAAGGTGGAAAGTTATGGGAAAAGTTGGGTAAAGACCCTAACTCCTGATACACGCAGCAACTTGTCCATCTAATCAAGAAGGGGGAGTCATCCCCTCATGACGAAAGCTGATGCACCAGGAGGTAATATCTATGGATATAAACACCTAGCTTCCCTCGTCGCTTTCCGTTGTTTCCGACATTTGTATTAGATGCTTCATGAGGTTGTCCCCACTTTTTGTCATGGTTTAGAGTGGGATGAATTTAAAGATGTTTTTAACGATATTTTCAGTCGCCAGTATTTCCCGAAGCCTCATTTGCCTTATGTTTTTTTTATTTCGCATTCCTTAGCGACCGCCACAGTCACTTCCCAATCATCCGGTATGTTCCCTGAAGATATCGTGTCAATATGTTTCAGTCATTTACTTCCTCACGTCCTATGTACTGTAAAATGACATTATTATTTTACCTAGGAGGGGTAGAGGGAAAGAAAGCGTTGAAAGTACGATGAGCTTGTCGATCGTATTCGTGAAGCCAATGTGACCAGCTAGGGATAATCGCCTTGGCCGAGAATAAGTCAGCCGTATATACCTGGTATTCAAATGCCAATGTTTCGGAGAATTGTATATCACCGATGTCCATTGACCACGGTTACGACGGTGTCTCCTCCCAATAGTAGCACTTTTTTATCTCCAAAAGATAGTAGAGAATCCTAATACAAAAGCTCGCCTAACCTGTTTCCCCACCTCTTCCAACCCTTCCTTCATCACGGTTCTTTTCTATCGATAATGTAACACTATCGTCCATCACTATTTCCGGGTAACCAAAGCTTTTCGTCATTCCTGTCAACTCAAGAGCAATGTGGCAAGCAATTTAGTTAGTAAGTGGCCTGGTAGACAGTTAAATAAGATCAAGAATAAGGATGATCAGATTAAGCTCACTCATCGATGTTAAAAAACTAGGTGATGCCCTCCAATATGTTGCATGTAGCATCCTTGTATAGTCCCATGTCACGTAGAACGGTTGTTACTGTTACTTGTACTCTGATAAGGATAGGGTGTTCCTCTTTGAGACCGAGTGGATTGTGCCATTGGTCAAATAAATACTTGATTTCCCCTTCCGTTGAAGCAGATACAAGATGTCTGTTCTGAAAATTGGTTTTCTGTCTACCTTGGAGTAAGTTGCGGACGGGTCGTTTTCATCGTCTCCATCTTCTCTTCATCGAATACTGTAATGTATATAGATGCGGGTAAAAGAGCCAGTGTTCGCATAACCGTAGTTCTAGTTTCATTACGGTTTCTCACGATTAATCAAAACTGACACTCAATTAAACGATTAAGGCATCATAAAATCTTTACAAGCACAAAACTAGTCTAAACAGTTTGATCGATTTAACAATTGTATATACGCCGGCCTTAGATATGTTATTTATATAAAAATCTGTTTGTTTAATACACAGAAACAAAAACACATTCACTTCACCGGAGAGAACTACGTTCACACATAATATTAGCATCAAATAACACCATAACGATGTATTTCATGTAAGTGACAAGAAGAGTAAAGAGAGAAGAAGAGATGCTTTTTACTGGTAATGCAACGTTTCATCTAAGTTATTAGGAGATATAACAAATTTACAAGTTGATACATAATCGAGGGTGAATGTAGATGTCTATGGGCCACAGCATCAAGTGAACTGCGTGCTTGTTTCATTATTACCATTGTCGCCATTAGATCCCTTCACAAGTCCACTGCTGAACATAGGTCTTCCCCAAGAAAGGTCATAAAGCCCGGCTCTAAGCTTCTAAGTCATCTGCATTCATAGATTTCTTGCATCTCTTACCAGGTTGTCATTCCAGTGTATGTTTATCTTTACAAATCATCTTGCGAGCGCATCGATAGAGGAGTTTATAGATCCTTTTCAAACATGGCGATATAATACAATTTGGCTTATTGTACTAACGTTAAGTTTACAAGTCATTCAAAATCGTAGCAAAAGATTTATTCTATTTTGTTATGGAAGCTACTAGAACTGTCAGGTTTCGCGAATGGGCGTAGCACGAGCACCCCTATAAAAATCTAGCCTCTCTTCCCTCGCAGTCTTGCATGCCACTACTGAAACCCTTGAGTCGTAATCGTAAAACAATGTTCCGCAGAAAGCACACTGTAAGGAACGTTATAATAACGATGTAGATTATACAGAAGACTCTATGTTTTGAAAAGGAAGAAGTATTTCTGACATCGCTATTGAAAATGGAACTATATTTGCTACTTACATTTTACTGCAAATAATATCACGTTGTTTAATTCGACACTATTCTTTTTAAGCTTAACACATAAGATAAAAATTATGAATAATAAATCACAACATTTTAGATTTATGGTTCCACTTCTTCACTTTTAAGGGGCTTTTAATAGGATTTAAAATCCTAAATCGTGAACAGTAATCTGAATGTTTAAAATTCTTTAGCAGACTAGCAATTATTGTATTTATTAAATTAAAATTATAATTTCACTGTAATATACATTATATATTGCTCCAACGTCAATGGTATCATCGAACACCCGTTCTGTGACATTGTGTTTTTATTTCACGATGGCGAGTTGATATTGCATGTAGTGTGTGTATATACAGACTGCTTTAGTGTGCGTAAGTTCGAAAGTTAATAGTAGTTAACGGATAAAAATTTCTCACAAGGGTGTAAAAATAATTTATGTGTCCTTCTCAAAGTAGCAGAGTAAGGTAGATGTAAAACATCTATACCTTTATAAACAACTGCTTGCAAACTGTCTACACGCAAAGACTTAAGCCTCTGCCAATCAGAGTTTGTCGTACGCCTGCTATTTGTCAATAAATATCCATCAAAACATCCACATACGACAAATCCAATCGAAACGAAGGCCTTTTCTGGTCTTGTAGATGACAGTATATGATAATTCCTGGGATTTATAGTATGATATAGTTGGGATTAGCTACCTCATACCTAATATAAATACTGACATCTCGAGGCGGTCTGCAAATGACTTCGAGAGATCTAGACACAGATTTATAAACAACAACAAACACAACATTGCAAACCATCGAAGATAAAGGTTTTTCCAAACCATCTACCCAGTGTTGCAATATATTCACAACTTTTGCAATACTTTTACTACAAGCACAATTCATTTTAAGACCGATGGACAAAAGGCGGCCTTTGACGACTGTTATACAGAATAAAAATTGTGGTGACAGTAAAAAATTCTATTATTGATAAGATTTAAACAGAACTACTTTACCAAAAGAGCAAAGAGCATTTAATTGTTTTGAAGCAGCGAGCGACCGATTAGTGCTTCTGCGTCAGAACATGAAAAGAGGTACTTTCTGGATGCCACCACACTAGTCAAATTTGTTGTAAAGTAAAAAGTAAAGTTACAGCCTATATACGTCCCACTGCTGGGCACAGGCCTCCCCTCATTTCTGAGAGGGTTGTATTGTGGTTATAGTGTGGTATTGTATTATTATTACTATTTCTGTGAAATCTTTATATAGGTATGACATGACTCACGGGACAGTGAAATGGTTAAAATAGCTATTATTGCTTTTAATTTATTGCTGTGAATAGGTTTCAGTTGGGATAAGATCTACATTTTCGTAATGGCGTAGAAGTCATGACATTGGTAGTATATTGTAATTGTAGTGGTAATTTAACATGATTTCGTACGTTTTAAATTCTAAAACTTATATAATAGTTCAGAAAAAATACGCGTTAAATTCAATTATCTACTGAGGATCTTGACGCTGCTTCGATATTTGGCCACATTGACGGTAAACTCTAACGAACTACAAAGACTCAACATACATTTGCAATATACAAAACAAAAACTAGTTTTATAAATATTGCAATACAAATTTAAGTAACGTCTGTAAGACTACGCTTCATACAAATGGACTCAAACACAAGAAACCATTGTTTACTACACTGCCGTGTAAATTGCGCAAGCAATGCGATTAAAATAAAAATGGCACCGACCGACGACTAACTTCACTCAGTTGAGTAGGGTTGGTAAATAAACCAACTTTGTGTTAACAACATTATACCTCAAAAATATAATCCAATAAATATCTTTTGCAAATTATCGATTTGTTTCATGATGCAAAGTCACCACTCAATTCTGCTCTGTACGCACTTGTGCTAATAATATACATCGTGTGCCAGTTTTTCATAGAAATTACTATTTAAGTTTTATTTTGCCATATTTTCCTTTTTGCATACCATACTCAATTAGGTAAGTTGTGTTTTATGGCGACGCAAATGAGCCTGTTAATTTTAATTGCGTAGTAAAGTGAATCGATGTTAATTATACGTTCGTTATATTCAATGATTCTATTTATACTTTATTGCAATAGATATCTTTCATGTTTACTACATACTGCATTTATGCTAAAGGAAGTAAAACCGATAACTCTGAGAAACAAATCCTTAATATTTGGCCATAAATTGTACAAAAATCGTTGGGCGTTTTAGAGAAATATAATTAAATATGAAAGTACTAATCGTTGGTGTTAAATTTCTGTTCCACGCAAATCACATGAGATCAGTGCCGGCACTACTAAAATGGAAGTTACGACCTTTCTATTGTTATATCAAAATAAATAAAACTATACTTTTAGAGGATATGGAAAACGTCACCTACAAATGCCGGAACAGCGTGGCGTCTCTTCTCGTCGACGCTCTCAAAAATCGGATGAGGCCTTTGCCTGGCGCTTTGGGGATTTGTCTCCAAGATAGTAGTGAATCACTAATACAACTTCATTTATAATAATCTTAATTAATTTGTTAAAATTCTTGATTTGAGTCCCTTTTAATGCATTTATTATTGTATAAACAAAAATATTCCTACTATAACCAAGACGACGCAAGTTATCAATTGATTTAAAATAATTTAATATTTATAAATTTATAATTCATAATATTTAGAAATATTTATCCTTAATATATATTATACATTTTATTTTACACAAAACAGTTTAAAAAATAAAAAATACAGTAATTACCAATATATTAATATTAACGATACGAAACACTATTTAAGTTAATAATTTATAACAGAAAATAACATTCAATATATATTTTTAAACTATTTCAAAATGATCACATAATTATTTCAAGGCGTAGAACAATCTTGTCCGCCTTACCTCGATTCAAATAAAATATGTGCATAACAACAATAAAAACTGAAATAACAAAAGTGATGGAGAAATAGGGAAATATTTTTCTTATACCAAAAAGAAACTTCTTAGTCGTCGTCAATCTGGGACCTTGATTTCGGCCCAGATGGGACAGTATGGCGAAGCTGGACCGCCCCAGGACCAGCCGCGCGGTATGGCCAAGTGGCTCAAGCCGGATTTGATGACGCCGGTGTGGCCGTTGAAACAGCTGTCAGCGATAGTTCCCGCGCTCAGGATGGAGCTTTGCCCCGTGGAGTTCGAGTCTACTGTCGTTGTGATCGATACGTCGAATATCGATTCGCAGTTCTTTAACGCTGAAAGAAAAATATAACTGTCCTGAATAAATATTTAAAATACATATACCTACCTAACCAAAAAATCAATTAATTTAAGATGTTATCGTTACAGCCTACCACTGCTGAGCATAGGCCTCCCCATACATTGCCTCATAGAGGGGATATTTAGCTATATATAGTATATAATTGTCCTACGCTGGGCAAGCTGGTTGGTAACCGCAGTTAATTGGAAGACGCTGCTGCCCATTTCCTGGTTTATTTCTCTCCGTCTCCTCCTACGAACGATATGGGTTGTTGATATTCTTACAGCGCCACTACACGCTCAATTTAGTAAATATTTTCATCCATTTGAATTTTTTATTATCTGTACAACATATTTTTCTTTTTTATGAGTAGCTTTTATCTTGCTCTCTTTCTCTCTTTCTCTCTCTCTCTCTCTCTTCTTTAATATAAACAATTAAAAATAAAATATTTAAATTGCTTAAGTCACAGGAAGCGAGCAACGGTAGTTGAATTTTTTTTATAGAATAGGAGTTACAAACAAGCACACAGTGCACCTGATGGCAAGTGGATGCTGTGGCCCACAGACATCTTAATTTATTTTGGATTAAGAATCAAAATGGAGATGCGTTGTTACTTGTTACCCCTGGGGAGTTAGATGGAATGCCTCGTTTCCAGTATAAAAGGGTCTTCGGTTCACTCCACTCACCAAGTGGAACATGGCAGGTATTCATACATTCAGATATTCCGGTGCGTGCGTGGTCCTTCCCCGGACGAGCCGATCCATTCGTGATTCAGACATAACACGTACGAATGTAAATAATTCAAATAATTGTAGTTATGTTGAACTCCTACATTAACTGATCTATCTGATAGTTTATCTCACACTTTAGTTTTGGTGGTTTTATTTTAAGTTTTATGCTTGAGTGTATTTGGTTGACTGCCTCGTTGATTGTCTCTCTGATCCTATTGCGGTCCTATTACACATATGAATTGGAATCCCGGGTCGGGATTTTTCTTTACAGAAATTCTCATTAGCAGCCTGGAAAAGCACGTATCTTACGCCTGATCTCCCTCCGCTCCGGTTGTGTCGGATTGCCGTCACATCGGTCTTTGAGAGCGAGGGAATAGAGAGCACACCAGTGACGAAGCTAGAGCTCCAAGCTAGGGCAAGCACAAGATAGTTTCATATTCATTGCTGTCAAGGATGTGTTTAACAAAGCACACAGAAAGCATACCACTGCTAGATAGATTGTATTACATATCAGCAATTGCATAGCTTCGGTGGCTTTGAAGAAAGCCGTTTGGGTTTGTTTAAGCGAAAGAAAAAAAATATTTACATCCAATGCAATACATGAACAAAAGTAAAACACGAACAAAGTACAAACAAACTATGTACAAAATAAAAAAAACAATTTATTTACATTCTAATGGATAAGAGATAAGATAAGATAAGTGGAATCGTCTCGCTTTCTTATGGAAAGATTTAATTACGTCCACGTAAAATGTTGCTGAAAGTTTTAATTGTACCAATAACAGTTTTTAATTGCAATAATTGATAAGTCTGAAATACACTCTTAACCTTGTGTATTATCTCAACAAAGATTTCCTCTCCGATTATCACTTTAACACACTTCAATTCATCACAAGGAACACTATTATCCTCCATTTTCATTAAGAATCTTTAAAAAAGCATAAGTTTTGAACTCGTAATATTAAATCGCTTAAGATAAGCACATAGAGTAAATAAACATTGAAACGTGAAATGAACTTGCAAACGTATTGCCCGCGTGCCTCCGCTTTTAACAAATTTATTCCCAAAAGCCTGGCTTTAAATCTCTATACTAATTGCTATATATACAATCGTAGTTATATTTAATTATAGAATATTTTGCCATAGGTTAGAAAGAGAGCGATCGTCTTCTCGAAAGCCCCGTAAAAAAGCCCACGCGAGCGAGGGAGACAACTATTAGCTCTATTAAAACTCATTTTTTATGACAGCAGCAGTATCGCTAAGGCAATGCGAGGTCATCGGTCGACATGATGTGTCGAACAGTGGAGTGCGCGGGAAATTTGAAATAGCTTTAAACATTTTACGAGTTATTTTATTAGTTGATATTATTGATTGATTCAGGTTTAATAAGGCAAGCCCGGCTTTTCGGCTTTAATGGAAGCTTCGCCACTGGAGCACACGTGTTTGCGCAAACATTCGTGCACCATAGTTCCACACTGCGCAGATGGCTAGTCCGTTGAGACCGGTCGCCGTGACCGACATTTGGTCTGGAGGACATTTTAGTAGGTTAATGTGCGGCTGGGGTGCCTTAGTGCAATCAAAAGTCGCGGACATTTATATGATTTTATAAATTACTGGCTGTTCCCGGCGCTTTGCTAACTGTGGAAATATCGTTATAAATTTGGAAGAGTTATATTATTTAATTAGGAAGAAATGGTAATACATTCACTGAAGTTGATATATAACTTTCAAATAAATTTGTCGGTACGATACGCGCGCCACCTACCGCAAGTTAACTGTTGACTATGTTGACTACCCCATTGGTGTAGTGGTTGTAGTTGTGCTGATTATGAAGTCCTCCAAAAAAATCGATTATTGAGTTTTTCGGTCAAGAAATTCTCAGTATCTGCCCTGAGTCACGAAGCTGGCGGTGTCTCACCCCCGTGCCTGATCTCTCTCTGGTAGTATCAGTTTACCGTCCCATCGGATTGTGAGAGTGAGAGAATAGAGAATGCACCTGTGCTCGCGCATACCCTTGGGCACTATAATCCTGTCCTGCGCCGATGGCTAGTCTCCGTTGAGGCAGGCCGCCGTGACTGAAATTCCGCCTACAACGAATTTTTGTTAAAGGCCTGAATATGTTCCCTTACAAAGTGCAGACAGTGCATCAGCTGTTAGCTGTTGACCGCCAACCGCATGTAACTTACGCTCGAGCCATCCTGAATCTCGCCAAGAAGATGACGATTTTTCATCGAAACTCATCATGGGCGATGAGGCTTATTTCCACATCAGCGGCTACGTGAATCGCCAAAATTATCGCTTCTGGGGCACCGAAAATTCGCGTGTGATCCACATAGAACCATTATACCCGCTCAAGGTTTCGGCATGGTGCGCTGTTTACGCGTTTAGGACGTTTTACGTACGTTTAGGAATTATCTGGCCATTTTTTTCGACGACGACTTGATGGAAAAAATTCTAATGAAACCTTTAAACGAATTTCGATTGAATTTTGATCCTGTGTTAATGATCGTATTAGCTCAAGTGGATATCGAGCGGTCGCGGAATCGTAATATGCCTAGGTTTGCGTTCGCGTTTTTTTAGTTTTTTTTAAAAATACGAAAACTTTAATTAAACTAATTGCACTCATGATTTTTTATTCAAATAACCAGTTCAGTTTTTTCTATTATGTCAATAAGATCAAAAAATATTATTTTCATAATAATATTAAATTTCATCAGTATGTAATTTGTAACTAAATGTAATTTAAAAAAAAAAGACATCCAGGTACTTAGATATAAATAATCCGCAAATATAACCAAAGTTTTTCATTTGTAAAATAAATTACAGCCAAAGAACATATTAAGATGGATTACTTTTGCTTAATCCTGTATTAATGATAATCTATAGGACGTTATAAAAAAAAATTTGGAACAAAACTTTTTTGGTTTCCAATTATACATAAATGGCCATTACACTAAATTAACCCGAGTGACACGATTTACAAAATTCTACTCGAGTAGCATCTTTAACTTACGGTCAATGCTGTATCTCTACAATTTAGTGATGAACTTGACGCTACTTCGAGCAATTTATTAATATATTATGTAATATCAATAAATTGATTAAATATAATTAGTGATAGTTAAATTATTAATAACATTAAGGCCTAGGTCATAACGTTAGAGTGATATTATTTTATGAAGATTTTCGATACGCAAACCAAAAATATATAACTACCTATTAAGTTTAGTAATAATAATTGTGTTGGATAGAAGAACAAATATTGCGTAACTCGAGTTTAATTCGAGCTATCTGAATTTCAACTCGAGTTAACTAGACTCGAGTTTCTCCCGAGTTGGCACATCTCTAATACAATTATTTTTTTAATATTACATTATCAGGACTGGCCTGAACATGAATATCAAAAATCTCTTTTTAATATTCCTCTATTCCGTTTAGACTTTCAAAACAACTTAAGCTGTTTGTAATAGTAAAATGGTACCTATCTTTTTTGTGTAATACCATTGAGGGTCGTTAAAATTTCTAGTGGGCCCAATAACGATTGTCTTCCTAGGGCGGTGCTGCAGTCCCTTTTTCTAAGACCTTTGTCTTAAGGTTTTGATACAAAATCAATTTTTAGCATTTTTACGTCAACAATGCCTCACATCAGCTTGAAAAAATTATACGGATAACATATATTATTGTATTAGGATAAGGATAAGATGATAAAACATTCGTCAATTAATATTTTAATTATATTATTACCAATCACGCACAAAGTTTTCGCGATATTAGCAAAAGATACTGAGATAAAAGTAATTTTTTTTTACTATAAGAAGACTATTAAAGATCAGCAGGTTTTGTTAAGATCTACGTAGACGAAGTCGGAGATAAAATCTAGTCATACATATAATTGTTATCAGATTTACAACTTATCGTACTGACGCTTTCTTCCGTTGTCCGGTTGGTTACTCAAATAAGCCTAGCTGTTTCGTCACAAGCGCTCAACTAGGCAGTGATAAAAGGTATCATACAATGTAGAGACCCCGATAGTGTGATATTGTGAAACTAATGATAATATGTTAATTAATACTTTGACAAGGACCCACCCAGATAACCTTTTGAAACACAATTTTAATACTTTGTAATGGATGCATAGACCTTGCGGTTGTCAAGTCCAAATAGATTTTCTTTATCTGTACGTCGCAGCCAACTAGCTTCATTAGTCTTTCAGACAGCCTAGACCATAGAATACTATAATGCACAATAATAGAATGGCTGTCAACCTTATTTTGTACGAGA